AATGTTTACAGCAGTTTCTATGTTGCAGAGATCGTGGAAAGAAAAAAGGTGACAGTTACTTCTGGTCATTTTCACACTCACTGTATCTTTTGTGTTAGTTCCTCATTTGACATCTTTTTTGAACACTTCTTTAAAATCCTCACATCCAAAGAACTGACTGCTCGACAAACATCATGAAATCATGTAAGTTGTCACATTTTCACTATGATACAAATATCAAGGTTTTAGGAAAATATGATGTGATTTTCTGCAGTTCTTTGATTCACAGATATCTAGATGAATATGTTTAGAGAAAAATGAATCAAAAGAAAATTAAAAAGTTTATGAGACTTTCAAGACATGAATTCACGGTCTTTAGTAGAATTTTTCAGAAATCAGAAACATAAATTATGTTTAATTGTTGAAGAATATTTTTAATAAATTGTATAACTGCTTTAGACTCACACCTTCCTCTTTCTTCTCTTTCATCATTTAATGATTAAACTTTGTGAAATCAACACTGTATATATATACTCTGTATAAGGCTGAACATTTATGTATCTATATTTTTCAGAGTGACAATAACTAGCAGTAGTAATTTTGACCTTACATGACATCTTAACAGCTTTTCCTTGGTTAACAAATAATCATATAAAGTGTTTCCTGTGTAAACTACAGATTCCCTTGAACTTCACTCTCTTGCAACAAAGATGGCTGGAACTCTGACTTTTCTTCTCGTTAGTTCTCAGCTGCAGGGTGAGTGAAAGAAACTCAAAATCTACTTACGTAAGATGATTAAAGTTGATAATAATACACTATTGTTAATTTAAATCATTTACTTAAATTATCTGACATCACTATTTAAGATGAATGTGCAGTAAACTACCAAGGCTTTTTATTGATGAGATATTTACAGTAAAAGTGTTTTGTATTAGCATCTCAATTCAATACTGAGTCGTTGTAACGCAATAAATATGAAGGAAGAGATAAAACTGTTTGGGTTTTTGTTGTTATTGTTGTTTTTTTATTATCGTGTTGTGTTTCAGGTGCGCTGTGCAGAACATTCAACATTGAAATGCCACAGAAGATAAATGTTTTGAGAGGATCCTGTGTGACCATCCCCTGCTCCTTCGATGTAGAGAGGAGATTTGAAAATAACTTAGATGACTCATGTAAAGCATATTGGAGTGATTCACCTTCATTTACCACTGAAAATGCAAAACTAAAGCCAACTAAAGAGATGACAGGAGACTTAACAAAGAAAGACTGCACCACAACTTTCAATAATGCAAGTTATCTTCAAAGTGCTAAATACTATTTCAGACTGGAGTGTAATAATGGACTGAAATACACATTTAAACAAACTGGTGTAGATATTTCA